GTCCTTGTCTATACACTGCTCATTGGCGTACGCTGCCTCGTCGTGCCGTGGTTGCTCTTCTCGTCCAATACCTTTGTCAAGACCACGTTGATCTTGGCGATCAATAGCCTCGTGAGCTTTGGCACCGCTGTCGGTATCTCGATGGTCCGGATGCTTCCGCCACTGCTCTTGGCCGTTGTGGGCGACTTGAGAGCCACGTACTCGCCAGTGTGGGGAACCCGGCACGTGCTCCAAGCGCGTTTTATACTGCCAACGTCTGGTCTCGACCTCTTGGAGAAATGTGTTTTGCTTGGTGCCAACGTCGTCAATGTTCGGCGGCTTGTGCTCGCGGCTGCCAAGCTCCCATCTCGCCCTGCCGTCCGTCGTGTGTACACGACAACCTCTACGATGCTCGGACCGTCTGCGTCAGGCTCTAGCTTCGCGCTTCGTCGGGCCTCCTCCGTCGCCAAGCTGCAATTTATCGCATCACAGTCGCTGCGTACTGTCTCGGAAGTGGGTCAAACGCTCGAGTTTCGTCATAAGCGCATTCTCAAATGTTTCCTTGTCTACCAGCTGCTTATGGGCGCCACCATGCTCTTCAACGTCGTCGACTTGGCCTCGATGCAATCGCCATGTCCTCGTGGCTGTCAACTGCAGACGCACCCGTGGTTTTCTCGGTCTTGTTCGTGCGCGTACCTCGGTATCAACTGCGCCGATCCCACTTTTGCAAATGCCAACCTCTCGATGTCTCTTTCGCCCAATATTTGGGGAACCGCCGTCTTTTTTCGGCACCTCTCGCAGTGTCATCTACCGAATGGATTGGACTTGCGACTGCTGGCTCCCTTTGAAGGTATTTCAGTGATCACGCTCGAGTTTTCGAATATGACGTCGTGGGACGCTCCACCAAACGTGACGTGGCCCGCGTCACTTCTCGGTATCAACTTGCGCTATGGCAATCTTACAGCGATACCAACCGTCTTGTACGCGCTGCCACCACAGCTGCAGGTGCTCAACATCATGGGGCACCCGTTCCGAAATATACCACCAGATGTGTTTTCGCACTGGACGTCGGTGACGTGGCTCGGCCTCGCAGGCGCGGA